TTCCATCCTGTTTGCACGTGTTTGGGATCACCAAATTGTGCCTAAGTTGAAAACGGCCTCCATCGTTTTTCTCAGCAATTAAGAGATATTTCAAGGAAAATACTGCATGGTATTTATATACTTACTAAAGGCTATCTATATGCAAAAGACGAGTGAATTTGATTTTTTTCAGCTTTGCCGAAGATTTGCGATTTTGTTTGATTCTTGTACGGATATGCTTTTAAGATCGAGGGCAGGTTTGCTTACTTCGTGTAGATGTCAAAGCGAGTGATTATGGTGACGACAACGATTTAAGCATGAAACTTACTCCTTTGTGAAGCATTTCTCTGTTGCATTGGTTTCGGTACCCTTCCAACAGCATCCAAGATACATGCACGTTGTAGAGTTGGTATTTTTTGGAACCATACAACCAACTTTCTCATCATTAGTGATTGCAGAACAGTTCCATCTTGGCTTCAGTGATGCTCCTTAGAACAAATGAAATAAAGCAATCAGTGAATCCAATGTTGTCTTAAATCATTTATTGACGAAACTCTTATACAGGATTTTCTTTTATGAAATAATGAAGCAAAAAACAGGGGTTTGTTCCATAAGACTTTTTGGCTGTTTGATCACATTTTTCGCCATCTCCACAACGATCCCTCCAAGGTGATCTTCATTTCTCCTTTTTATCTCAGTCTTTTGTCATTTATCAGGGTACCTCCGTATTTATAGGCCATACCTTGCCCCTCCCCCCTCACCCCTTCCCCCTAGCCCCTCTTTACGAATACCTTAGTAAGACTCAAGTAGCCCGATCATATGGATCTTGTAAGACGAATCAGACTTGTACTCAGTCACTCCCATGAAGCATTCGACGGGAGCTCTTTGCATCAAGGAAAGTCTAGATTTCTGCTTGCTTTCCGGCATATGGCAAATTTTGCCAACGCGTTAGCGTTGCGTTGATGTTTGTAGAAAATGAAAGGTTCAAATTTGCTAATGACAGAGAGCTTTTGCAATATATGTTCTGACGTGATCTGGTCCGAGACATTTTAATTTAAAAGCGTAGAAAGTTTCACTATTCTCCATTAGATCTCGACGTAGGCGCCGACTTTAGGCGCCAAAACTGAAGATGATAATAATAATAATAATAATAATAATAATAATAATAATAATCCTGGATCTACAGGAGCTGCTGCAATTAATACTTGTTAAAACACGTTAACAAAATTCAGACAACAAAGCAACCTGTCCTTTGTCATAGTCTTACTGCCAGAACGTTTTACACGAAACTAAGTGCGTTGAAACGAGAGATAAATTTAAGGAGTGGTCTTACTGCGAGAACGTTCTTCACCAAACTGCGTTGAATCAAGAGATAAATTTAGAGTGAAACTAATCACGTTTTGAGAGCTTCAGATTATGTTGGGAGAATGCCTTAGTTTCTAAGTTAGAATGGCAGTGCTCTCGGGCACGTTGAATATTGCCCGGACTTTCAAAGTGGCAGTTTGAGTTCCTGTTAGAAGAAGGACCGTATACACAACGTAAAAGCTTTTTAGGATTAGTCAATGTACATTTATTTTTTACTCCATGGCTCACAAGTTACGGTTTTCGCCCTGTGTTGCTGGATTAGAATGTAGCATTCAGTTGAATTCTCTGCGATAAAAATAATAATAATTTAATATTTATATTGCGCAAATTAACATGTGGATATTATCAAATGCGCATCACAACACTTTTCGGGGGGACTTTGGTCGGACTGCATGAGCAGTTTACAAACAATCGAAGGAAACTTATTTGAAGATGCCCCCTCCCCCCCAATTCTCAGTAAACAGGCCAGACCACATCACAGTAATCTCGTGAGTGGGTTCTTTAACGTCCCCTGCCTAACCAAATTAACTAATTAATAGATGCACGAGACGAGAGCTACGGTTTATTCATCCTTATCCGAGAAGACTAGTATGTCTATCCATTTCTTGATATTATAGAAAGGTAGCGCATTCTCCTCAGTTATTTTAAGACCTTGAGTGTTGGTTCGGCCGGGGCTCGAACCCTCGACCCCGACATCCCGCACAACAGTCCGGCGCTCTAACAAATTGAGCTAACCGGGAGGTTAGAAAGAAAACTAACGAGGTGAAATGCAAAGAAGGCTCATCATCCACACAAATGCGATTTCGTTTGAAAACGCATTGTTTTTGACACGTTTTTGCCCATCGTACATACTAAAATGCCAAAGCCGCTGATGAAAACGGAGACTTTCGCGAACGGTGTCAAAATTGGAGCGTTTTCAAGACAAACCATCATGCCATCCTGTTGTGTACATGTGACCATCAAGACATTGATTATAATAAAAATTAACACGAATCCGATGCATATAGCAAAATAAATATAACAACCTTAACTCAAGTATTATATTCTTAGTATATTCTTATTATGGTGATAATTTAATATTTGTATTGCGCAAATTAACATGTGGATATGATCAAATGCGCATCACAACACTTTTCGGGGGACTTTGGCCGGACTGCATCAGCAGTTTACAAACAATCGAAGGAAACTTATTTGAAGATGCCCCCTCCCCCCCAATTCTCAGTAAACAGGCCAGACCACATCACAGTAATCTCGTGAGTGGGTTCTTTAACGTCCCCTGCCTAACCAAATTAACTAATTAATAGATGCACGAGACGAGAGCTACGGTTTATTCATCCTTATCCGAGAAGACTAGTATGTCTATCCATTTCTTGATATTATAGAAAGGTAGCGCATTCTCCTCAGTTATTTTAAGACCTTGAGTGTTGGTTCGGCCGGGGCTCGAACCCTCGACCCCGACATCCCGCACAACAGTCCGGCGCTCTAACAAATTGAGCTAACCGGGAGGTTAGAAAGAAAACTAACGAGGTGAAATGCAAAGAAGGCTCATCGGTTTAGAGTGCACTTCGATTTAGTCTCGTAGAACCCAAAACCGAAAATACAACTGCCAATTTGGAGAAACTGAGGAAAATACTTTTAAAAGCCAATGAGAATTCAAAGTAAAAACAACCTAACTGCCAAAAGCGCGGAGAAATGCAGGCGACGGAGTCATTACTGGTCCTAGCTTTGCGCTGCATGTGATTGGTTTACGGAGTAGCGAGAGGTTTCTGGACCAATGACAGATCGAAGAAAAGCAATCCAAAGCAATACCGGATCACATTAGACACTCGACGGAGAATTGCTTCAAGTGAGACCTATTGACTTGGCTATTATTGTGTATTTCGTGGACAGGATCCAAGGCGTAGAAAATGAAAGTTGCAATGTATCCAAGTTTGAATTGATGTACTGACTAATGACACATATATATATAATTGAGGTCAAAAAGCTTTAAACAATTACATAACATTTCAATTTAAGACGTAGTTCATGCCTGTTTTCGTACAATACAGTCATTAGAAATTATCTTGGAGTTTGGAGTTCGTCCACATCTGAAAACAAATTTGCTTGAATACAAGCGCGAGGTTATTTTATGCCATATTTCACTTTGGATAATAAAAGTGTGAAACCTGTTTTCGATGGGCTAGCTCGAAAACATAGAATGACTCAACTCAATTGTAACGTTCTTTATGCCCAATTATGGGTTTGACTTAGCCGGCCCCCCACCGACAAACAGATGCCAAGATACTGAAATCTTTTTCGGAAAGATTTCATAACTTGAAATCAATGCGCGATGAAAGTTATGCTGCTAAAATATAAGACGAAGGTTGAAAACTATCGGCATTTGCGTTAGTCTTCCTTACACTTGGAATGGTTGGCGGAAATGATCAGGCCATATGTAAAATTTCATTTAAAGCGCTAACTAATTTGAGATATTGTTTACATACTTTCAATAGCTAACTAAGTTCAGTGTTGTTGCTCTTCAAAAGACTGAAACTAAGTCAGTCACTTGAAACCTATCTCTCTCCGTTAGTATAAACAAATGTGTTTAAATAGAACAGATGAGACAATCGCTTATCTTAGCCCAAACTATTAATAAGTTAAATTAGATCGTCTTTGAATTGAAACGCGTATCGATTAAGTTGCTATTACAATACTTTAATAACCTCAGCTGACCCTTGAGTGTCGAAAGGTTTATCTACTTGTTATATTTTTCCAGCTAAATTAATGTGCAATGTTACAGCTTACCTTGTTCACTGCCTGCGACACCAAGGTTAGCAAAGAATCGAATACAAAGCAAGATTATACCCGCGAATAAAATGCGAAACACGATCAGTGACATCGCTAGCTCCGGTGAGAAGGTCCTGATGGCTTTAGTGATCGAAGTGTCCCTCGTATTCCAGTTTCCTACGAAACTGAATTCATTAAGAGTGATAGCTTTAGAAATCACGTAGGTTTGAATCCCCCGAAGTTAGCGGAAGTAAATGTGGTAAGGTTAATATTTCGCTTTATTATATGGCTTTGTCTCACAAGGACTTCTCATCTAGACCGGCATCTAGACCGGTCCATAAAAAAATGGTACAAAGAATATAAAAAATTGGCATATAAGACACAGCCATATAATAAACATCTTATTCACCGAGTTATGACTCTTCTTTGGTTTTCTAGCTATTTGCTAGGCCGTTCCCAGTGCGTAGGGGTCGACAAAGTTCTCTCCTCGCCCCTGGATATAGCTTCTGGCGTCCCTCAAGGCTCAATTTTGGGGCCCCTGCTCCTTATATTGTACATAAATGACATGCCCTCCTGCATCTGCTTCTCGCAAGTTNCAGCCGATTGGCCGAGCTGATAGCCGCCAAGAAAGGGGAACGATACTCGCAAACAATTTCCTGGATCCGAGCAAAGACATCCTTTGCCCTCCTTCGGTCGGCCTTAGTTTGCCTTCGAGGATCGCGGGTGAAGCGCCGCGCTGCGTATGACAATAATAATTGTGACGTTGAAATCGCAGCTGCCGAGGGAGCCATTGACATTGTTTAATGCTTTTTAGCAGCCTTGTATATAGGGTTCTAGATTTGCCATTCACCTTTCTCTTTTCTGTATAGTTTTTGATATGCTTTTACTTATCAGTATTAGACTCTGAATCTGTTGAGATCTGACTTCGCTATTTGTAGTTTTCCAGACACTTTGACATTAAAAAAAGGAATAATTTGAATATATCAACAAAGTTAAAATGGTGAATTGGCCACCGTTACGATTATAAAAGCTGACGTTTCGAGCGTTAGTCCTTCGTCGGAGCAGCTACCCCAGTTTCTTTAGAAACCAGCCTTTATTCATTTTTTAAAAAAAGGAGATGTGAGCCGAAAGTGAGTTATTTTGGATCGTTTTTTACGCTGCTAATATTTTGTATTGTAGAGGATTTTATGGAAATTATTGCTAAATAAATATTATTATTATTATTATTATTATTATTATTATTAGGTCGGTCTGTATGGGAGAATCTTGACTTCGGTCGCTGGTACAGACCTCACTGCGTTCGGTCTGTACTGGAGACCTCGGTCAAGATTCTCCCATACAGACCTCCCACTCGGTTATTAATTAAGAACTAATTCCCGTTCTATATGCAAATACTGAGCAGGGTGCACTTGTCGCCATGCCGTTCTTAATGTCCTCATATACAGTCCAACCTGTATCAAGTCATCACCTAAGGGGAATAGCGGGGTAAATGCCTAATGCAGGTTGCAAAGAATACGGGACAAACGCGATCAAAAATGAAACCTCGTCTGAACGGTCCTAATGGGAAAAGTAATTTCCATCACGTTGAGGACGTTTAAAACTGAGAGTTCTAACGTTGATCACGAGTGATAAACGTGGGATAATTTTGACCGGAGAGATTATTTTCAGTTTTATTTTATTGTTAAGTGACCGTTCGATAAAGGTGGAAGACAACACAAACAGGCCGTTGAGACTCAGACATGGGTGAAAGTTACACTACCCGCGGGGAAAAAAATTGAGACTTTGAAAACCGACCGCTTAATATAGAAAGACCGCGTGATACGTTGCCGCCTTATACAAGTTCCACTGTTTATACATTCCGCCTGCACCTGGTTCAAAATAGAGAGATTAAATGCGTGTGGGGCTAAAACTCGCTTCGTTCCCAAAATAAGGCAAACAATCGCATTTCCTAAAATGATGTTCATATTTAGTACCTATGATAACTGGTACAATTACTTTACTAACACAACAACTGATGTTTTACATCAGCTGACAAAAACCGGCTGAAATAAAACTGACAACCGTGTTTGAAATAAAATACATCAGAGTAATTACGTAAGTCACATTGATCTGCTAACGTTTATAAGTATGCCAGTGAAGTCGTTGATCAATTTGATTACGTCTTTATACAACACTGAGCCTAAAAAGAGGCACAAAGTTTTAGGAAGTCTTCTAAAAATTCCCCATCCATCAGCTTCCTTTTTGATCTTCATCAAGTTATAGGAAATGAGTGGAATTAAAAACAGACCCTACTAATATGGATCGAGTTATGATCCAGAACAAAGTGCAAAATTGTTGACAGAACAAACTCTGAAATTTTACTTGTGTATAATATTACCTGAAAATACTACACTGTTAAATTGTAACGTGATCAAGACGGGCTTTTGACCGATTCCTTTTTTTCGAATGTGGCAATTTAAATGTTAAAACATAGTATTTTCGTAGGTTCATGTTCAAAACACGATTGGCATTAACTTAGATTTAACTACCATGGAAACGTATTGTGTCTTTATGCAGTCAACCAAGTATTGTCCAAAGAACACGAAACACCTGATGCAAGTTTTCATAACGACTATGATTAATAAAAGAAAAAACTCCATAAAGTTTGCGAATGTTTTAACAGAGGAATGAATTTGTCGCTTTGTATTTCAAGATCTTAGTATCAAATTTAAAAAAAGCTGTTAAGAGTGACATCACCCACTAGGCAACTCTGGTATTGTATTTTAAGATAAATACTTGGAAATAGAAACTATTTCAATTTCGCGTAATAAATTTTAAAGCGATGAGCGAAAACGCATTGAATTTGTGACGTCTTTTGTTTACGCGAGATCATAAATAATTTTTTTTGGAAAATCAAGTAAACCTCATGAAAGTGATAGCCTATCTTTCTTTCATGATTTATTACACCGTGTACAGTTGCCTGACTGAAAAATCCGTCTAGCATGAGAAAAGCCATGTTAAAACGAGCAAATTCTGTTTGCCAATGCAGTTTTCAAACTGTAAAATGTTGCTCTAGCTAAGAAAACGTGTCCACAGCATTGAAAAACCTCGCTGGAGTAGAATGAAATTTATCTGAATTCCTCTCTAGAATTTTCCTAGTCATGTCATCCATGTGACATACACACCCAATTGCAACACTCCTGCCATGGTAAAATGAGTCGAGTTCTAAAAATTCCTTCTGCAACTAGTGAAAAGGTCTAATAACGTATTTTATATGCTTAGTGTTAATTCATTTTTGGTCTTTTTGATATTGAAAACGACGTTTTTGCAGTTGTGTTGGGTGACAAATCAAACTGCAACGTCACTCGGAGCTTCTTCGTTCTTCTCCTCCTCCTCGTCGTTGTCGGCAGTACTCATTCGGATATCTTCGTTCGACCTCGGCACGTCGTAGTTTGACTCGAGCGTTTTCGCCCGGGGAATGTCGTAATCACTTGAAGCAGAGTTCCTGGGAATATCGTAGTTTCCTGTGTCTGAAATCACGAGAACGATTACATAAGTGTATCTATTTGCACGTGGTTTTAGGAAGCGCAACTCCTACTAAAGGTAGAAGAATGTTGTAATAATGGTTACAAATGAATTTTAAAAGACACACATGGCTCATATCTGCAAGTGCTTATGTCCGGTTTCTGAGGCGAAAACACTGCCTCTTCCCCGCCCTTCCCCCAATGGATGAGATGATATTCGGTCAGCGGTAACTTTAATCATTTTGTTGCGTTGCTAAGACCATTCCACGAAACCCTATCAAATTTGTGAAGAGAGGGGCATTTTGAGAATGGAATCTTCTTCAAGACCACGGCTAGAGCTCAATTTCCGATCTGGTTTCTTTTTCCTTTTTCTTAAAATTACTTGAATTGCATTTTACCTGATGGTAAATTCTCGTCGCCTTCTTTTGCTTCCTCTCTTTGCTCGATTGTTTCGTCAGTTTCTGTAGCTGGCGGCATGTCATAATCATGATAAGGGTTTTTTAGACGCCTACTTATAGCTGTGAATTCCAAACGCTTCTCTGCTTCTTTTGTCCAACAATCTTTCATTATAGCATATACGAAGTCCGGACAGTTGTCTGGTTTCCCTAAATGAATACCCTGTTCGAAGGAATAAGTAAGCAAATACATCAGTGGATAGATAGACAAACAGAAAAAGCAATTTTACGGTATTCTTCTATATTCCATAGTGGGACGCCCCTGTCCTATAGTTTCCAATCATCAGCTTAAAACAAAAAATGTGACACTTTCTCATACAACTGAGACGGTTGTTTTCGATGAATACAATACCTTCTGAATAAATTCCATCACTTCTTTGTTAGTATATCCATAATAGGGCTGCAGACCAAACGTGAAAATCTCCCAGAGTACCACACCATATGCATACACGTCCGACTTGAGACTGAACTTGCCGTACAGGAAAGCTTCAGGAGCCAGCCAGCGGATGGGCAGCAATGTTTCTTTGCTCATCTAAAAATATGCAAAGATAAAAAGACTCTTGAATATATGGGACTTTGAGTATAATCAGTAGATGATGATTTCCTTTGTTCTCTTGACCTAAACGTGTGATAAGGGGAAATGAGAAGCTCATCAAAGGGTTAATATTTAAGAGGTTTAAAATAAGCGATTTGTCTAAAAACCGTCTTGTGACAGGAAAGTAAGCCTGGATTGAGTAGTAACACGGATGTAAACGTTTTGGCCGAAACCGTCTAACAAAAGAAAACTTGTTTGTGTAGCATACCTTATAGTAATCTGTAGTATAAATATCACGTGACATTCCAAAATCTCCGATCTTCACTACGAAATCATCTCCCACTAAGCAGTTCCTCGTAGCCAGGTCCCTGTGAACAAATTTCATTTCGGCCAAATACTGCATACCAGCGGCGATCTGAGTTGCGGCAGACACAAGGACCTCCTGTGAGAGGTAAACTGACGAAAAAGAAGGAAAGAAGACCAGTCATGTTAAAGATGTACCGTTTGTGAGATCTTAAGGTGGTTTGCAATTTAATTTTAACAAAATGCGCATCCTTATTTTGGTATTTCCCTATAAGCAGTCAACAGGCCGAAAGGGAACAAGGCAATGTGACAACTTGTTGGATTCCATTTTTCTTCAAGGGGAAAAAGAGTGAGTATCAGAGGTAATCAGAAGTACAAATGCCTGAATCAAACGGTGCCGGATTAAATCGCAAATCAATTGCTCCCAAAAACTCAGCACAAACGCGAGCGCAGTGTATCGCGTTGCTAAACCGTCAAGCGTTAAATCATACCTGTCGCGTTTGAGTCGTCGTACATTTGTATTCCTAAACAACAATAGACTATGATCAGTCCCTCCTTTTCGGCAAAGTGCGTCGGGTTCAAAAAAGAATTCAGCGAAATAAGAAAAGGGTTTGAAGTCAGCTGAGTGAGGCAAACGAAAAGTAGGGAATACAGACAAAGTCAGAGAATTTGTTCTCTAAGGTTCATATTAATTTTGATTTTAATTCAAAGATCTCTCGTTTTTGTCTTACATGACGGAATTCGCCAAGGAGGGACTGCAGCATAACTAAGAATATCCGATCCTGAGAGAAAGAGAAAGTGTCCAACACCTCTGAGGGACATAAGGTGACCTTACTCTGTTCCACACAGAGTACCAGTAGCAATACCTGTACTCACGCAGCCAATACCTACCCTTCCCTTTCTCGCTGGAGTCCAGCGATGTTTCAGCTGGTAATGCATTCCTCAAATATTGATTCAAATCCCCACCGCTCATGAATTCTAACAGCATTCCGTAGGGTTCCTCCTCAGTTGACACAGCTAAGAGCTGAACAATATTTGGATGAGTGAGAATGGACATCAGGGTTACTTCTCGGAAAAACTCGTCTTTTTGTTCCTTCGAAGGCTCGTCCTTTAACGCTTTCACCGCAACAGGAATAACCTTTTTTGATTGTTTATCATTCAGACCAGAAGCGCGACCTAAAATGGAATTACAAAGAGAGTCAACATAAATCTCAAGATGCCTTATTGAGGAAAGGAATTTGCCTAAAGAGAGAGGGAAGACAGACGAACTGAACAATTCTTAAATGTGTGATTATACTCAATCCGAGTTGATTCGAAATATTCAAATGAGAAAAAACATTCACAAATTCAGCGAAAGAAAAAATAAAAAATGCACCCCCGGTGGGACTCGAACCCACAACCTTTGAATTAGAAGTCCAGCACGCTAGTCCATTGCGCCACGAGGGCTTCAATGACACAAATCTTTTTCTGACTTATCTGATCGTGCTTTTTTTTCATATTCCTCCTTGCTTTGGTTTTCAACAACAGTTGTTGGTTATTGTAACGTAAATGCTGTTGCTGCCGACTGGAAAAAAGCTGAAGTTGTTCCTATTTTAAAGGACGGTGACCCAGAAATTCCAAGTAATAATCGGCCTATCTCGCTTTTGCCAATACTATCTAAAGTTTGCGAGAGGGTCGCCCATGACCAACTCACCTCATATTTGTCCATTAATCAACGACTGAGCTCTAAACAAATGGGGAATACGAAATGGAACTCAAATGAAACTTCTGTTATCCTTACAACTGACTCCATATTGGAAGGTATTGACAAATTTGTGCTTTTCCAAACTTTTTCCAAACCTCACAATCTGCTGAGCCACCCTCTGTTTTACAATCATGTTGTGAAAATCAGATGTGATCCAAATTGGCATACTGAGTTATCTTAGTGTACTGTGAGATTTCCTGTCCTACTAAAATACTGGACGATAGGTCACGTCTTCCGTGATATCTCCACAACCTATCAATTCATTTCCACCAAATGTTCAGAGAACGAAACTGTTATGCGAGTGAACGGTGGTCATGAAATTGTGTTGTTGTGGTAAAATACTCTTAAAAAATTGTGGAAAAAACTTGAGGAGAGGAGCGATATTTACTACGCTCCCACTCCCGCCTCCTTACTGTCATTGTACATTCAATGGGCTAAAAATAACCGATTTATTGATTCCAGTTCGTGACAAGAGAGCAGTTATAAGTAACTGCTCGTACTTCTGTTTGCTATCTCACTTTATACTTCAAAAAGCATATGACTGGTTGTGCCTGTTATTTTACTCTGGGGCTGACGAAAATGCCTTATTAACACTTTAGGCCAACACCACCTTTGACCGCCCACAATGAAATATTGCATAACCAAAATCGCAAATGGTATGTGATAGTTATGCGCAATAGGGTACGCAGAGCAATACCAGGAAATAACCTTGTGAAATTCTAGTTAAGTAAAGAGTACCTTGGAAAACTTTCCCAAAGAATCCTTCTCCCAAATCTTTCACGTACTGTACATGGTCCAACCTGTATTGCCTCAGTTTGTTTGGATCATAAAGTCCTAACAGGCGCGAGTCAAGGCTTTTTAAGGACTCAGCTCGTAACCTGTCTCTCATTGTAATAGAGCCTTTTTGGGTTAGCGCATGCCCATTATCTACAGCGTCCCTCCTTTTCTTGTGTCTTCGATGAAGAGCGAACACGATGACACATACCGCAATGATGAAAAGGCAAACTATGACAATTGGAAGAATAATTTCCAGTTTACTTTCAGGTTGTGGGGTCGGTTTCCCAGTGTTTACACCCATTGTGGTCTCTGTATAATCTGAAGAGAGAAGACAAAGAGATCAGTTGAGTTTCTGGATCTATTCAAACAAATATTGTGATTTTTGTAAAGAATAAGAAAGACGGTATGTTGCGAGCTCTGCAAAGAAATCTAGATAGATGATTTTTCGTCTAGTCAAAGCGTGAGACAAAGAAAAAATTCTGAGTCCCCAGGAAGAATCGAATCCAATCTGAACCGATCAAAATGTCTTACTTTGTCATAAAATAACTGCTACATATCAGTGCTCTATTTGTCTGATTAAAATTTCACTGTTTAATATTCCAGAAAAATCGCAGAAACCTGGCATATCTATGATGATATTTCATGAAAGCAAAAGAAAAGACTCAGATTTAATTTCTGTAGATTCTACTACGCAATAATCGCTTGTCCTTGTTAAACAATACCCTAAACAATATTAGAAAGCTTAAGAATAAATAAACATCAGAGTGTAAGTTCTCCCAACTGTTTTTTATACATTTCCTATGGTAATTACAAGGAAAAGTTGTTTAACAGTAAAGAACGTCTGAAGTTCGCAATCTTTTTTTTTTTAAATGACCTTTCTGGTTGATTCAAAGTTGATACTCTTAGGAAAATCAGACGCTCATCACCATTACGAAGTAAAGGGGATAACTACTGCTCAAATTTCACGAACAAATTCTCGTGTTGTCCTAAAAATTCCAATATTATTCTCCGCTAAGATTGGCTTATTTCCAACAGCTGTGAGTGACGCATGTCCATTATCACTGGACTATAACTGGGATAAACCGATTCTACTGAGAAAAAAGTATGGGAAATGCACACACTGATGCTAGGGGGTGAAAGACTGCGCGATTCTCTTTCCAGACTGGTCTGTATTCCTTTGTGCAACACAGGAGAAGTTAATCTCGCTCTAAAAAATATTCCTTATTACTTAATACATATTCACTTACTGAAAAAGCCCGTCTTGATACAGGTTTTCTCTGGTCTGTCCTTAAAACTCTCTTCCACGGGGTGTCCAGAACAGTTCGGTAGACTCGTATGTATAAAATCGATGTTTTTCGCAGCCACATGCAGTGTCAGGGCACCAATCACTTGATTCAGGGGGGCGCTACATTCCTTGAAAATGGCCGCACAGTCTCCCCTGCAGTACTTTATGTCTGTGCCATCCGGATAACAAGGGGGCACAGTGTAATGACAAAGCAAGCTTGTTAAGATGTATCTGCACTTTTCGTTGTCCTTCACAAGCTGGTCGATTATTTGTAGAACCCTGGCAAGAAACTGTTCGGTGGCTGGTAGGCCATATTTGTTGTCGAAGAAACGATCGCTGTTGCGATAAAATGGAAGGGACGAGTTCAATGACACTTGGCAGACTTTTCCTCGATAAGGCATGCAGCTTCCTCCTCTAAACAAAGAAAGAAATTGAAACTCTTTAGTACTGAACTTCTTTTATCTTGATCAACCTGCAATATTTACCTCTTATCAATACAGTTCGAGGTCCACACTGTAAGGTACAGACCGAGTTTCTTCTTTCTGCACGAAACTATTGCCCAGGGTCGAAGCGCGCGCGCCTTAAATCCGGGCGGAAAAGATTAGGTTCGTAAGATATTTGTCACATCTCTGAGTTCAAAGGGAGGGGAACATTTCAACTCACACAAAATTTAGAATTTAACGAGCCGTTAAGTGAAATACGGCCTGCTAAATTGACTAATCACAGCGCACGAACTCAATGAGGGATACAATGATAAGTGTTCATAAAATTGTAATCAGTTCTTTCCAATATGCTTTAGTGCAATTGATCTGCTCACTGAGGAACAAATGATTGACATGCGTCACTCATAGCTGTTGGAAACCAGCTAATCTCAGCGGGGAATAATACTTCATGACGTAATGCGTGAGCAGTCAGACTCATCGGATGAAGACTATAATTATGCAGTCGAAAGGATCCACTACATTGGATGCTACTACATCCTGAAAACAACGAAAGTCCTTTTATCAACATGCAATTTAATCGTCATAAATAGGCACTGACTTCTTGATCCGACACTATTATGCATTTGATATAAATCATCAATTGCGACACCATCATTTTGATGTGATCTTGAGCAAGACAGGAAGAATCNGGGGAGGGGGAGGGAGGGAGAGGGGGCTACCAAAACTTGAGAAGCATCCCATCCAGAGATAGGAGCAACACTCTTAATCACTTCATGCTACAGAAAGCGGGATAAACTCCGAATGGCCGGAACACCTAGGCGCAACTTTTTCGTCTCTCTCACTTTTTTTAACCACCATCAAAAACAAGCCAATGGGGATTTACAAGGACAATCCAAAAAAACAACATTCCAATCAAGACGTGCAAGACGATTTAGCATATCTTTGGTGCACAAGTTGCAGGTCTCCCTTCTAAAATTGCAATTAGTAAGTCGAGGAAAGGAATTTCTGCTAAAAAAAAGTTAGCAAATATTGGCGAACCAAACAATTCTAAATATGTGATAATACTTAATTCCAGTTCATTCGAAACATCTTGGTGAGAAATGACAATCACAAAGTATTAAGACAAGATAAAAAAGTTCCACCCCCGGTGGGACTCGAACCCACAACCTTTGAATTAGAAGTCCAACACGCTAGTCCATTGCGCCACGGGGGCTTCACATACAAACAATCTTGATTATTTTAAAGTTATTACATCTTGTTTTCTTCGAAACAAAAATATCCTCGTTTGGTTTTTCTACAACAGTTGTTGGTTGCCGTGAGGTAAACATTAGGGTTAATCTAATGCACCTGCTAACATGTGGTGGCAATGAATTGTAAAAAATAAGAAATGTTCTACCATTAATTTGACTCTACGTGCAATAGTCTTTCTCCTCCCCTTTAGGCAGTTGAAATGGGATTTCAATATCTAATTTTTCTTCACTTTCAAGATTGCGTATAAAGCATAGAAATATCCATTATGATGTAGAAACACGAGCGTGGTCACTTTGAAACGCTTTGCTCAAAATGAAATCAAACTCTTCTTGCCTCCCCACATAGATCTCATAAATTAATTTGGCGCCTTGTGTGATTATCTTTCAGTTTTTTCTTTATTTTTTTTCTTGTTTATGTTTCTTCTCTCTTTGTCGCGAATGAACCCTTTATACACTAACAACAGTTTGCATATTCTCCAAACTATTTTCTTCTACATTCACTACGGCGCTGATGAGGAGAATTTGTCTAACAATCAAGAACTTCCTAAAGTGGTGATCATTTCGTTTATTCTCATAACCTTCATGTGTGATTCAGGGGCGATATTGCAAAGAGAAATTAGAAGCTTGTCACTAATTGGGATCAAAAGATTGAAGGGGAACGGGAGACGTTTTTATCTTCTAATTTCGTTCTTTCAAATATTCTAGTTTTCATCTTTGGTTTCCTGTCCATACCTTTTTGTGTAACATTTCTTTGCAGAATCTGTTTCTGCATCATTCCAGCAGCATCCAAGAAAAAGGCATGTGGTCTTGTTTGTATTTTCCGGCACCACGCAACCCACTTTCTCATCTGGAGCGATTGTCGAACAATTTACCCGCGGTGGCGCAAACGCCCCTGAAAACAAACGAAATGACATTTGTATATTTCACGATAATTTGGGCGCGCAACTTCGCAAACATTGGCCTAAAATATTTACCTATTCGTTGATAAAAACATTTTTTGGTGCTATTCAGCAAAAAAAAAGAAAGGGGACCAAGAGAGAATAATTTGCCTTTTTTTTTTTTCTCGTCACGGGACCTAATACTGAAAATGTACTTTCTATAATTTCCCTTTTTGTTTTCTCTTTACTGGACCTAATCTTGGAAAATGCATTTTCCATCCCGTGCAAACAATAAACCCACCTATGCTCTTCTTATTATGCGTTTTTCTCTCTGTTTTGGTAGCATTTTTTTTTTCCAAGTGTTTTATGTCTGGTTTAGAATTATCGGAAGACACCTCTGCACTACGGTACAGATCGCTAATGTACGTCAGAAAGTACTTTTTGCCAAATGCTTCCGGCCGTTTTCACACCTAACTGATAATATTTCAAGTTACTATGAACAAGACATGTTTTGTTATTTTTGTTATCATACTCTTAAGGATTATATGAATAGTGAGTGAAATCAGAGTTCAATTTTTTCTGCCAACGCGATGCTTTAACTCATTCATAGCCTCTAAACAATGGCCTGTACATGTAAGTCACAAATTGACGGACGGTGCAACAAAACGCCGCGAGCCCCCAATATTGACTGTCCACGTTAGTCGGCAACCAAGCAACTAGTTTGAACACCTTTCCACAGCCGCTTCATCCCCTTTGCTTTCGAGGCGGCCTTTGTAGAGTGGCCTGGCTACATCTGCAAGTACAGTAGTTACAAGAGATTCTTTTGTTGGAAGAATTTTGGTTCCACACAACTCGTAGAAAAGGCCACATAGTTTCTAACATTCAAACCCTCCTCCTAGATCCGCTACTAAATCAAAATGTCATCACGTAAGTTAAACAAGCACTTAAGAAGGCACGATTAAAAAAAAAAAAACACTTGGAAAGGGTAACCGGAGTACTTTGAAAGGGTGGACAATTTCACTTCCGAAAACGTGACCTCGGCCTATGTGTTGAGGCTCATATGGAGGAGTTTTCGTCAATGTTTCAACTTCCAAATAACTTTGCTTGCTTTGATCTTCACGCGTAATTCACTCAAGAAAAACAATGTGTCTGTCACTCTGCATAAATCAGTGTTTTATTACCCAAGGGTCTTATTGTCATGCAAAATAAAATCCTGTTTGTAAAAGGAACAAAAGTTGTGTTGAACTTAATCCGTGCGTGACGAGTTGAGGGAGTTATTGTAAGTCGACGAAAAAACCATGAATAATTCTGTTTAAAACGCGCACAAACTTGAAATGACTGGGAGTTCAAAACGGATTCTTGATAGGTTCCAAAAATCTCGGTTTATTCCTTTGGTTAAAAAGTTGTTACGCCAGCAAGTAAACGCTTATAAATAACCACTGAGAGTTTGTTCCACACGATCAGTTTACAATATATTTTCCTGATTACTTTATCTGATTAATATACAATTTTTTACAAAGCTGATCCTGTCCATTTGACCTCTGAGGTTTCGACTAATTCTTCGGTCATTTTATTCAGAGTCATTCGCTCATCTATGTAGTTATGTAGTTATGTCGTCTTGCAACTGAGAAACTCTCGTGATATTGAGCAATTTTTCGAGCAATTTCCACTCATGTCAGTCAACTGCGAATACCGACCAACGCCGAAAACCTACTGTTTACAAAGCGGTCTTGGATGATCAAGTCCTAAAATAGTGTTCATCTACTATTTTCCAAGATAACTATCATTAAATTTTAAAGGTACAGGCCTTCTACAAACTTCATCAGAGCATTTATCGACCCTGATGGAATTTGAGCTGTTTCGCTCGCGGAATAATTAGTGATCCAAAGAGAAACATTACTTAAAATACTAAACATACATGTTGTGTCTTATCAGACGAGGTGATATTTTTATGTATGACGGTACAAAGAGGCACACTTTTTACATTGAATGTTTTTGGCTCCGATTTTCAAAATAATTGGTTAATCAAATTCACAGTTTAAAGCCATTGATCGTTTACGTACCGATGAAGTGAAGCGAATATTGTCTCAAGTTCCAAACTAATCTATCACATATCACTGCGCAATAAAAAGATTTTCAGCGCAAATTACGAGACAAGATTGACCAATACTTACCTTCAGATACAGTGGCAGTGCATACGAATAAGCTCAAAACAAGAAACACAACCAGTGGACGCGAAATCTTTTCCATATTGTGAGTAATAGACGATAAAAATGCGTCAGTTGATTGTGTTACGATTTGGGATTCCACCTTTCTGCAATCGCGAAATCCTATATTTTCTTGAACGTAGAAACGATAATCTGTCCACTAAAAAGTTGTGTTACTAAAATTATACCATTGTTAACCCATAAATTAACAATGCTATGTGCAAATCGTGCACCAAAATGGCGTGATGACTCGACGGTCCGTCGAACGGAAACACTCGGCTTGTAAATCGGTAATGACTGACTTGAATGCTCACTCAACCGAAAATAATAAGAGAGGAAGACTGGATACGAGTTAAACAAGTATTAGACATTGCAATAAAGCACGTTGGAAGAACGAATGTATCTCAATATATATAAACCGTTTCATGTAAGTCCCATTTTGCTATCATTTCTCTGTTGTATTATTATAGTTTCCATGCATATCGATTTTAGGTTGAGACTCGCTGTATACAACAAACGTATTAATATTGTGTTTTTGTTTCACTGGTAATGTCACGTATTCATCTTCGTTTCTTACTCGGATGAACTCAGAAGTCAAAGTATTTATGTGATAATGTAATTAATCTTCACTTTTTAATGACAATATTCCATGAAATAAAGATTTTTAGCTGTACGGTTTCGTGCCAAGGGCTTGAACAAGATAGAGCGATAGTTCAAGAAATCAGATGGGAGTTTCAAGGGGGACACAAGAGCGAGAACAACATTTCGAAAGTTTCGGTTTCCAGATGAGATTAGATTGAAATCTCTGCCGGAACGTCATCAACTCAAGACGATTGTACTTCAAGTCTTGTTAAACGTTAATATCGCCCTGTATATATCGTTTTTTTTTTTTTTTTTCTAAACACCGTAATTCATATTTCAAGCCTCTCAGAAGTGAATGCGTAATAACTTCCCACATGCAGCAAGCAGTAAGCCACTAAGTAGACACGTCACGTTATCTTCAGCGGTTCAGTTAACTATTACATTACATTGACTACAACAAGAAGGAAACCAGAGCTAGTTTGCTATAAGGGCGGAAAGTAATGATTTGGATGAAAGTTTCCCAACACATTCACGGACGTCATCGACGGTTACCATATTAAACGCATCAAACGTATAAGGACAGACCCAATGAACTTCTGGAACTGAGTGAATAGCAGCTGCAACATCAAGGTCAACACGTATTTTAGTAATCTTATCAGAGAAAAACTCGACAAACGTATTTGCGAGCTCCGACGGCGAGTTGCATGGCGGATAAGATGTCACACTTTCTGTGTAGTAGATTATCAATAGTCTCGAAAAGAAGTTTATAGTCCGACTGATTATCGTTGATTAGAGAAGTGTAATAAGATTAGAGAAGTGTAATTCATATTTCAAGCCTCTAAGAAATGAATGCGTAATAACTTCCCACATGTAGTAAGCAGTAAGCTACTAGGTAGACATGTCACGTTATCTTCAGCGGTTCAGTTAACTATTACATTACATTGACTACAACAAGAAGGAAACCAGAGCTAGTTTGCTATAAGGACGGAAAGTAATGACGGAAAAATTTTTCGAAACGCACAAATCGCAAGACGCAAGAAATGTCTTTTTAAAATTAAACCTCAAGCGATGATGCGTTGGGTTGCAGCGAATACCCAAATTGCTAATATCAAACTTGTTCGCCCCCGCACTTCTTGCATTCTTGTGCAATTTATGGTCATAATCGCTTATCAAAGATTCAAAATGCTCTATATAAATACAATTCTCGAAATTATCTTATTTCTTGTTGGGAAATTGTTACCTCTCAAATTGGAAATAACATCCAAAGCACCAGAGCCAAAAAAAGTTTAAAAAGTAGTTCTTCTTCAATCAGCACCAGCAAAATCAAAGCTTAGGGAGATAATGACTTGTGTGGGAGGTAAGTTACAGGGATGGCACAAAATAATTTACTAGGACACACCTTTGAAAACTGGAGGGCGCCTTGTAATAGGAGGGATCTTAGGAACTCCTATTGGCTCTTCTTCATCAGAAGATGGAGAAAGTTCTGCAAAAGAGACAAAAGAAATGATCGTCACCTACCTAGTTATTTGATTTACTCATTTTTCATTCATGTGTTCATTTATTCATTCACTTTCTCATTCATCCATTCAGAAAGCCAATTTCATCTGGAGTTAATGGCAATATTTGAATCAATTTCTTCTTTCAGAAAACAAAAAATTAGGAAAAATGGACTCAGTCCTTTGCCCGCCTGCCCTCGTGTGTTTCAAAAGCTTGTATAGGCGCTATTTTACTTACCCATGTTAAGTTTGATACATGTCCCATTTTCTTCTTCATTTTTGTCGGTGCTGTTCAGCCCACGACAACCTGGAATTGACAGCTCAGACCTCATTCCACCCGGTATGCGATTCATAGCAGCTTCAAGTTGATCCATATAATGCCCACACTTCAAAAACAACTCTTTACAATCCCCGACACAGAAATGTGTCACGCTGTTGTTTGTCTGACACGGTGGCATAGTGTAATGGCACAGCATAGCAATCAATGCTGCTCTACATTCGGAATGCCTGACAGTCTTTTCGATAATCGTCACGGTAGCTTTTAAAGGTTCTTCAACGACACCATTTTTCACTTTGTGAAGTCTTGGTAACTGGCTTAATTGAAATAGCGTTTTAGAGAAAGCTTGCTTGCAAACTTTTCCCTTGTAATAGGCACAAGTTATTGTCGTATTTCTGATAGGAGATATGTCGTTACTGTGGAAGGAATGAAATTTTGAATCAAGTTCAAAATAAATTGATGAGTGGATAACATTTATACAAATGTAGATTAACCACTGAATGGATGGTCGCATCATTTTTCAATGATTCACAGTTACAGTGAGCGATTTATTACCGTAATCAACTCCTGACCTCATTACTATAAAAACCTGTACTAAAATAGATATAACAGATGAAACTTCCTTTAAACACTAAGTTTGGATTTAAGTCTACAAATCAGCTGTTAGTTTATTTCAAGCAATTTTTAAAACTTGCTCTGGTCAGTGGTGAGAATTCTAGTTTGGTTTTACCTTTTCTTAAAACACTGCAGAGAAGGATTAACTTCGCTTTCATTCCAACAGCAACTAAGCCTGGCACAAACAGTTTGGTTGATCTGTCCGCAGGACAACTTAGCATGTACAGGGATCTGGGAACAAGACCTCTCTAAACAGGCAAACAATACAAACAAACAAACAAGCGATAAACATCATCGGTGGATACAGGGGGACAGTCTGGGGGAGGGGGTTGGGTTCAGATTTTTACCACTTATCTGAAACCAAGATTCCTCCAACGACAGGATCGCATATTACTACTCGACTTGAAGTATTAAATACCTACTTGTCCTATAGTATTTCATAGCTTATTTAGGCTCTAATTTAAAAATATTCGGTACTCAATGATTGTATTCCCCTTTTTCCTCACCCTCATCAACAATTCCTGGATTTGCCACCTGAATATTCTCATATTTGAGATATTAAACACCGCAAACGGAGAGTCATTTCACAAGGATGGGCCGTTCTCATTTCCCAAGAAGAATTCGAGCAAGCCTGAAATGATTTCTACTAACCTTGTACACATGGTGAGATCGCAGGAAGAGCTAATGGGGCGGGATGTTTGTTCATTTTTCGTATTAATTTAATCACATAACTGTTAATTTATTCAGACGTATTTACTTTGGGCGGCTTTGCAATCCGCTGAATAAACAGATTAATAAATAACTATATTCGAATTCGTGGTCACTTACTCAGTTAATTTCCCAATCTATTTTATTCGTGACTTCCTTCCCATCTTTCGTGGGCCACAAAAAAGATTAAATACTCTAATCAATCCGATTTTCATCCACTTACAGATTTTCTCACATTTCAGCGAATTCTTGAGTAGTTATAAAACGAGAGATCCTAAATTTGATCTGTCATCGATGACATAATATTTGACGTTAAAGTGAAACTAAACGGACTCTCGCGACAGAGTGTATGGTAAAAAAAAAACTGAATTAGATATCTAAGAGTCTAAGCAGTGATTTTGTTTAGTAAAAGGTATGATAAAACTGTGGAAGAAGACCTTCACTGAACGTAAATTATACACAAGAGTGAATCAACTAGCTGTGATGCGATCAGATCGTTTTCATTCAGCTCAATTTAAGATGTTTATTGGAAGATTACCTATGCTAAAATGATTACAGACCAACATAGCTCGTTATTAAACTACTGTAATGTTTGGGAATGTTCGAATGTTCTACTAACGTTTAAGGATTCCTTCGTACCCACTAAGGTCTGTTTCGTAAACGTTGAAAGAAGGAACCACTAATAATTTACGATTTCAGTACCTAGTTCCTACCTTTACACTGAATTAAGTACTTTGACAGTACCGTACGACAGCAGCTATCTACCTTTACAATTGAAAAAATTGACCCTAATGAAACGAAGGAAGTGATGCGGAAGCCATAATAAAAAAGACAACTCAAGGAACCTACCTTGAACATCACCATTCACGAGCGCCAAATGTGTTATGACCACAGCCGTCAAAAACACGCGCCAAAACATTGTGTTGTACGTTGATCAACTTTAAATAGTGTTATATTAGTAAGAGAAAACACCGTCAGTTGTCTCCAAAATGCTAAACGCAAGCGATTTCAAGGTTTAAGTCAACAATTGCAGGATGATGCGTCCATCAGGTGTGTATTTGTCGTTCACTGATCGTGTTGCTCACCTCACGTAAATGAGGATAATAATACCGCAAGATAATCTGGGTGCAGCAGGAAAAACCATCTTAAATTTCAGGTTATGGGATCCTGTTAAATATAAACTCCTTGGTTTTGGTTCGGCAGATCCGCTGATCCAACTTTATAAATCAATGAAAATTTTACTCGCCTGGTTGATTTAGCAGTTGTTAATATTTTACAGAAATTTGACCACTGGCACCGAGGGGTTGATAAAATTTTGAAAAGGTTGTTTTTGTGGTATGATATGAACCAGTAGACATGCGTATGTAAAGACATTTTTGTTATCAGTAAAACTACCGGGTATACTGCTCTCTCTTGTACGCCGAAACACCGGAACACTAAAAGTAATTAATTCCGGAATACTTCTCATAGTAGCGGGAATTCCCCTCAAAACCTAGAAACACTTCAAAATCGTTTTGATTCATAGCCTAGGTGACCTCGGAGCCGTAAAACAGGAAATGTGTGACAGACGTGCCCTGTATAGTCGTTTCTAGTCAGTCATCAGAGCGTGTACGACGTGAGCCCAAACATTTAAGCCATCATTTAATACTCTCTTTTACTCTTGCTTTCCTAGATGACTTCTATTGATGTAGATAGATAGATTTGCTTGGAACTTGAAACTTGGAACTTGTACTCCCAAATAGCTAGGCTAATGCTGGGAGATGTAGAATAACTAATTTGTAGTGCTAATAATCTACGATAAATATGTGAAGTCTAAAAGAAACAATAAATGTAAATTGTTCAAAATCTTTTCAGCTGGTTCGGGGTCTTCATGTTCTGAATGTCCCTTATGGCTAATGATTTAAAAGAAGTAATGTTCTCAGCCTGGACTGTTTGACTTGACAGTTTATTCCATACCCGAACATATTCTGTTTGGGTGCTGAGGGAGGATCGAAGGTGAAACACAAACGAAGCTTACGTAGGGGTGTGCCGACGAACGCCCTAAGACTCTGACCCTGAAAAAAACTTGCTGCTTATTAGCTGAGTCACTTTGATCATCCCATGTTCGGCATATTTAGACACGATTCTAGGAAGGTGGTCGAGAACATGACGTCGAAGCCAGCCAGTAAACTTCCGGAAAAACAGTGGGCGTGAAAACTTCTTATCTACCCTGTTGTTAAATAATTACAAATAGGTAAACCACGAAAGTAGGTCCTCTTTTTGGGACCAGCCATTATTTATCACAGAAGGGGATAAATAATGGAATCGCATGATTTCACCTGAAACGAGGGGAACAGTTGTCGCTGACAGAGTATATAGTGGGAACTACCGAGATTTACTGTAAAAATGAAAGGGGACATTTAAATACTGCAGAGCCTTAGGGGGATTAGGTAAATTTTATCATGACAAAAATTCGAACCTCTACTACGCCCCCTCACCTCCTCCCTCTCAGGCGATGTGTAGAACCCGATCCCTTTTTGCTCAGGGCCGGGTTGTTAAGATAAGCAGGGTTAGGGTAAATTCAGATTACATATCTGGAGGCGTTAAAAGAAAATTCATTATGAATGTTTTGTCTACGATTTGGTAATTGAATGCTTTACAAAGAATAGGGAAATTTACCCCAAAAAGGCTTTTGAACAAAAGAATAAAGAAACCCGGATTACACTTCGGTTAGCACCAATCGGCCTTCGAACAACTGGTCCCGCCAAGGGAGTTAACGAGAGAGCTTTCATTGCCACCCAGATTGTGAATAATGAAACATACTCACACGTTCTTTAACACAGCTAATACAATTATTTTATTATCATTAATCCAATGTCCCTGTTTGGCAAGAAACTAAGTTATTCAAGCTAAAATCTAATAAATCACTATCTTGGCTCGCATCAAGAGGTTATGAACAATTTATAATCCTTTGTTCGCACGTATTATGATTCATTGCATACTTTTAAGGATTTTAGCTTTTTTCCATCAAATGACGCAGATTAGTTTTTTCTCTTACTCAGAATTTTTAAATGTCAGTCTTGGTTTTCATAGCGTCCTGTGGCGATGGCAGAAAGCACTGATAATTCCAAAAGGAATTTCTCAACCATAGAGAGGGTCTCAATGGGGTTAGCCGTTAAAGGACCAGTGTAAAAATTGACGAATTCGAACCTTTAGTTGGAAAAAAGTTGTCCTTAGTCGCAAAAGCCATCACTCCATGTAGACCCTCCCTAAAGTGTACACAGAGCACGTTTCGATCGAGCATCGTTAAACCAAAACCAAAATTATCACATCAACAAATCAGAGCAAAGGAAACAGTTCCTGGTGCCAATGAGAACGCGAAGTAAAAACAGGCAAAGGGCGGGAAAACGCCTGTGACAAAGTTTCGTTTTGATTCTGATTGGTTGAGAGGATACACGAGTCTGGCTGGACTAATCACAAAACCCAATACTTTCCGATTACCCGGATTACTCTCTACACTCAATTGAGAAAAAACATAAAAAAAACATTATAAAAGATAAGACACTACTAGATAAATTAAGTTTCGCGAAGGAATCATGCCTGATTAGAAACAAGGTGATGACTTTTATTATTTTTGAACAATTTATTCAATTTATTTACAGTAATTCTATTTATCTATTTATCCTTTGATAATAGATTACAATGGACATAGTAGTTTTACATACTCTTAATTTCTTATATACCTCACACCTGTTATCCTAGTTAATGCAATTAGATCTTAATGTTTTAGATAGGCAGGTCCACGTCAGCCATTGGCTGACTTTTACCAACCCGCATTAACAATGAACTATGTATGTATGTATGTATGTATGTATGTATGTATGTATGTATGTAAAGGCGCTCCATGAAGACCGTATTTGGAGCAAAAAAACAACTGTATTTCATGGATGCCATAAAACGAGTTTCTACGTTAATAGTAAGGTAGATTTTCTACAAAGCTCTCCATGTTTATCATTGAGAAATCACGATAAAAACTCTTACCCTTGAAATTTATGAAGATTTACGCTCTTCTTCCCTGGTACAGAGAGAGCTGATTGACTTGGATAAATGGCACGCGTGAATTGTAAGCAGTAACGTCCTTAGTAGGTGCAATAAATTCAGCCCCCCAAAAGAGAAAGCATTGTACAAAGAAACGCCTTGATTCAAAATGAAATGAATCGAATCCGGCAAATTTATTTAGTTTGAACTTGGTTAGCCTCTCAAGAGGTATGTAAGCCACTCTATCTACAGCTCAAGCATTCATTCCAGCTGTTATTGGATGAAACAAGTCACGTAGTGAAATTTACCGGATGAACTTCGGTTTTCAACGCAGCAGCCAAACATTGGGCATGCGCGAGGGAGTCCATCCAGGATTAGGCCGGACGCACGCCAATTTCCCGCGCAAAATTTCAAACAAATGGTAAGAGACAACCACTTCCTCGAAAAAAGTACGAGAGAAAATTGAAACACCATAGAGATCTGTAAAAGGAAACAAAAGTAGGGAAAAGGAAACCTAGAGATTTTTCGAACACGACTGTTTAAGTACGGGTATCCTGCTGATTCAGTATTTGTTTTGCGCTTTACTAAAAAAAGTTCTACGCTTTTAAGAAAACATCGAATTATTGGCTTGTGTGGTTGTGTGTAAATCGTGAGAGAGAACTTCAAATTTCACTGCAGAAGAAAATCAACTGATGAACTGATACTAACATGAAACCCCCAGAACAATGTTACAGATTTCATGAAACGAAAATATATCAAACCAACTTGAGGTCATCGTTGTCTGACCGACCAAAATTTTCAGTCAAAGAAATTCGCACCGTTCTTTCAATTTCCTTTTAACGACGTCATATTGTTTTACAACATTTAAAAAATTTAACGAAAGTCTCCACGAATAAGTGGCAGTGCGCTGTCAATGGACTGCTTATTTCAACGGGTGCTAATTTTAGGTGTAAATATCAGACAATATTTTATCCCGTCTCCTCGAATATCTGTCCGATTGCAAAGTCGAACGAGGAAAGATAAAGAAAGAGCGAGAAAATCAATTCTCGCTTTTTTCCTTCGATTTTCATAACTTCATTCGGACTTACTTGATTCGGGCATAAAGTGTTTGTGATATACCGACCAGCCGGCTGATCAGGTCTACTAAAGAATATAATTCCTAAATACATCTGTAAATTGATTACGATTTTCCCAAGTCAACTGACTAAAGAAACGTAGGATAATTAAGCTCCCCCCTCAATATGTAACTCAAAAAAACCTCCAGAATTGGACCAGTCAAAGATGAAAACAGCTTGGAGTTTTTAGATGATGACATGAAGGCTGACTTATTCAACCAATATTTTGTAAATATTGGCAGAGATGTCGCAGAAAACCTCCCTAACATCCCAAACCAAACCGACATACAACGTATTTATAGTCTCAGCATCTTCCTGCAACTCTTTGGTTCTGGATTCTGAAAATATTTTCAAAAGTCTTAAGAATATCAAAAGCAACAAAGCAGCAGGCCCTGATGGTATATCAAGTACAATTATTTCTCTAGCCGGCCCTGCAATCATTAATGGCTTGGAAAATATCTTCAAGCGCAGCTTTGTCACAAGAACTGTTCCCATTTCATGGAAAAGAGCAAAGGTTACCCCTATCTTTAAAAAGGGAGATAGAACTGACATTGCCAACTATAGACCTATATCCTTGCTGTGTATCCCAAGTAAATTACTGGAACATCAGGTCTGTAATATAATTGATGAGCACCTAAGTAACTCCTCTCTAAAAAGTTCTTCACAGTGGGGCTTTACAAAAGAACTATCATCAGAAGGCATATTACTAAAAATGACAGATACCTGGAAGATGAATATGGATAAAGGTATGATTGTGGGTGCAATATTTATTGACTTTAAGAAAGCTTTTGATAGCATCTCACACAACATTTTGTCATTAAAACTCCAAGCTATTGGATTAAGTGGGAATCTCCATGAGTGGCTGATGGATTATTTGAAAGACAGATTTCAATACACTGTGGTAAATGACCACCCTTCTAACTTGGATGAAGT